CTTTCCTAATGTATAGATCTATGAAAAGAGAAAAGAGTAGCTGCAAGAAGTGAATTCTGCTCACTTTAACTTGTTTTCAATTGACTTTCATACTTTTTGTAAGTCTAGTGAAATCACACACTAACAGAACAGCAACGATAAAAATAACTGAATCTTAGCAAATAGGTAAGTTCAGCAAGATCAATGAGCTCAGGCAAATCAGATATTATACTTAAGTCAGTGATTACAGAGACTTCAGTTTTTCTTATGGTAACATTAAATAAACACTCCTCAGCAAGTAAACTCTCTCAATAGATTAGCAACCTAAACAGAACTAACTTTAACTGTTAGGCTGTATATTTAAACCACTTTTCAAAGTCTCTAGTACTTGAATATTATGGGTGGTCTCAATTTCTGTTTATAGTATTCAACTGAGATTTAATTGTGGCCTCATTTGTTCTAGATACTTGAATGAGCAAAAAACAAAGTTTCCTTATAGTATTAGAGATGAGATCAGCAAACTTTTATTATCAAGGGACAGATAGCAAATATTTCATTTCTGTGATCCATATGGTCTTTGTCCAACTATTTAACTGCCGTTTAACATGAAAGCAGTCATAGACAATATGCAAACAAATGGATGTGGCTACCTTCCAATAAAACTTCATGGACAATTAAATTGGAATTTCATATAGTATTAATGTGTCACAAATATTCTTCTTTTAAAAACAATTTAAAAATGTAAAAACCAATTTTTGCTGGCTGGCCAAATAGAAATAGGCATGGCATGTGGACCACAATTTATTGACTCCTGGTCTAAATGGTTCTTGTTCAGTACTAGAAACACTCAAAGAAATATCTAAAAGGGGAAATTTTTTAAATGAAATCATTACACTCACAGATTCTTAGCATTTGAAATTAGCTCAGACATCTCCTTCTTCAATTTCCCTTTAGTACAACTCCACTCTCAGCACGGAACACTTTAGGAACAAGGAGTGCAGTGTCTTACACAGTAGTTAATTCTCTGCTTACATCATTAATTGGCTGAATATTTTTCCTTTGCTAACAGAGAGGTACAAATGAGTCTAGTATATATTGTATAGATGTGTGTGTATCATTCTAAAATTCGTTCTATTTTTATATTTCACTTTTCAGGATACATGTACGACATTACTGTGTTTCATTATGTTTTGATGTCATATGAGACAATGAATGATACTGAGATTGTCAACAAAATCATTGTCTTATTCAATGAATTATTATTAATCTTTAACTCTCTCATATCTTGTACTCATTGAATTGATTTTTTGAACCATAGTTCAGAATGTTATACTTATTCCTATTAAAATTCATCTTTTTGGCCTCACCAGAGTTTTTAGGTGGTCATAATCCTTTGGTACCTTAAAAATTCAATATACTTTTTCTCTTTTTCAGCTAGAGAGGCTATTTGGATCTTCCTTCAGGTTTTGGGTATTAATACTTCACAGGCCAAGCTAGGCCAAATACAGAATCATAAGGCACATTATGGGAAAATAAGTTCAAGTCAGGTGGACTCAGTTTTATAGAACTATATGATAATCCTGTTAGAGACTCTCTTTCGAGTTTACAATATTCATCAATTGATACTCCAAAAGCAGGGTAATTTAGCAAGCTGATTAACCCACCATACTCATATCAAATAGCAAACATTTCTCCATCTTGACCACATGAGTCTCATAAAAATCTTCACCAAAGTCTATTCCATAATTAAGATATCTAGCCATATCACATACTTTTTCAAAGAACATTCAATGATCATGGCATATATTACCTTTCTGCACTATAAAAACCACCCCAATCTTAGGAATTCTCATTTATTCCCAGTGAGGAAAAAATACCTCTTAGTTTTCAAGGAAAACATATTTCCATGGTTATAAAGATATACTTACTCTCCTCACCCTAATTATGGACTTTTGTTCCTATTTTTCACTTTTGTTTATTAACTCTAGGATGATTAAAATATTGTTCTCTCTTTGTAAACAGTTTTGAAAAAAATTTTTAAAGGGGGGGGTGTGTTTGCATGTGTGTGCACAGGCATAAGTGGTTTTTTAATTTGCTTTTTCATTCTTAAAAGATGGATGACATGAGATTGGGAGAATAACAGGATAAAGCAAGCTTCTCAGGAAAAACATTTCAAAGCATGTTTCTTAACTGATAGTGTTTTCCCTTGCTTATCTTTCTGGGTGAAGAGCAATACAACTGAAAGGCAGCCACTCTATCACATGTGGGAAATTTCACTTGACAGTTTTATCACTAAAAGAGAATTAAGGGACAATTTTGACCTAAGAAACTGTGATACTTAATAAGATTTTTACCTAAAGCAGATAGTTGTTTTTATAGTATAAATTCCTTAGGAAAAACAATCTAAGTTTATAGAGATTTGGGGAAAAATCTATAGAGATTTCTAAAAGTCACCAATTCTAGAATTTAAAATATATTAAAATATAGTCTATTTCATTTTGTTCCACCTCTTTCACACTCTATTTTTATGCATTTCTTCTTCATCATTTTTTTTCCCCTCGAATCACTTCAGAAAACACAGAATTGAGCAACTGGGCTTTGAAGACTTCACATGGTCTCATCCCTTTACATGCTGATCATATTTCACAGCCAGAAAGATCAGCAAGCGTTTCCAATTCTTACAATGCATTTATCAATAAGGGTATGCCTGCTCTTCAGGTGTGTGGCCCAAAGCCTTTAAGATTTCATTAATAATCAACAGCTGGTGCCACCTAGTGTCTGTCCTCTCCATTCATCAGTGAAATGAAATACAGAGCACTTCTTAGTCACAGATGAAGCAAGCCTAAGCTACAAACTAACAAACAAAACAACATGGTGTGGGGGGAGTCCAGCGGCTGATTTAAATTACACTGTCTTCATTGAAAGAAAAGCTGTCTTTTAAAAGTAACTATGGTAACAGGAGTTGTGAGGCTAGCAGGAAGCGAACATTTTCTCACAGAAGACAATTCACAAAAGGAGATTCCTACTAAAGATGCAATATAAAAGAGTTTTTGCAGACTTCAATTGTCACTTAAAGTGTTCGTAAAAAGTTCAGAAATAAAATTGGCAAAAGAGGGCTGTATTTTAAACAATAGTGTAAATACAGCAGATTTTTGTCAACCAACCAAAAAAATAACTCTATATCATTTGGATGCAAAATTTTCTGTTAGTCTTTGAGCTCCTCAAAGATTAACACATTTACTGTAACAGTCTATGTGAAAGCATATACAGTAGTTTAAAGCTATTAAAGGGAAATAATAAGATTTCCTGAACCACATTATTAAAAATAGTTTTGCTGCTAAAACTACACATCTAGAAAACTATTTTCTTTCTTGCTCTCTGTATGAATTATGAATGATATATTCAACCACAGTCATGTACACTTCAAGGTTAAAAAGTACTCATCCAAATCCTTGACTATTTTTCAAAACATAAGTTAGTAATTATTTTGGAGAACTCCAAGTAGCATAATTAACCCACCAGTTTCTAATTGATTCACTGATATTTAAATATATGTTGTTTTAACTTACTCTAAGAGGAATACGTAATTGAAAAAACATGGACTAACAGGAAAAAAGTTACATAACAGCCAGTAGTGTTCCTTAACCAGACTGACTGGGATATTACAATTACTACAGAAAAGGCACAGCACATACGAGCAGCACTGTGTACAATGAAAGGTCATATTAGATGTTCATATATGATAGTCCATTAACTTTGATGATTTAGCTGCCTAGGTAGGCTATTAGGGAGACGGGGTAGAGAGCTGAAAAATTCTGTATTTTATATACAGTTAATAATCAAGCTTTTCATACTCAAGAAAATCTATTATTTGACAACTGTTTTAAACAATCACTTGTTAAATTTGTTTTATTTTCTTGTTACCCTAGTGGTGATTAAAATTATTTCAATATGTTCGGTCCAATATACACTCACTGACAGATCCTCATGACAGCATATGAAGACAGGATATAGAAACGATGCATAGTTTCCATAAAAAGCATACATTGTTCCCCCTTTCCAAAAAACTTTATTTTTGGAGCCAAATACAGTCTATCCTCATACTCCATTGGTTTGAAAGTACTTATAAGTATAATCTACTGATTGTAGGAGAAAGAAATATTGCAAAACAGGAAAAGGGTTCTAAAAATTGTACACAGGCAAGAAAGAATGTAAAACAAAACTCATTAAGGTTCCAAAATATATAAATAAATAAATGCTAAAATTTTCGATAATTTATCATTTTCTGGCATTTTTCATTAACAGCTTTCAAAGCCCTATCTGAAACAAGCTGATACAGAGAAATTAAGAGCAGTAATCAAGCGAGAAATGACAGACCAGCTGGGTCGACATCAACTTGGCAAAACGTGAATACAGTTCAATAGCTGAAACAGATGCTAGAGTTGTTGAAAAAGCCTGCAGGAGATATTGATATATTTTCTCCATATAATGCAGAATGACTGAATAAATGTCAAAAGCTAGAAATTGAGGAGGAGAAATGACTGACAGCCAAACTCTTTATAAAATAGAAACCAAGTAAAACAATTTTCAACCTATCCAAACATTCTATACATTCTCATTTCTCTCAATGTCTTAATATGCCAATATATCAATCAGTCCTTGCAACTAAATTACATATAACTGAGCTGGGGGAGATTTCCCCATAGATTTTTTTTTTCTCCCTGTCATCATCTACCTGGAGAAACATAGACTCTTGAAAAATACTTTATTCTAAAATCTTCTAACACTGATTTCTATCCCAGAAGTGTTTCCCTGAGGTTGGAGGCAAGCACACCCCCCACAAAATCTAACGCAGCACAAGGTAATTTTAAAATCCTTTCAGTAAAAGCAACACTGTTTGCAGAGTTTGAAGAGCTCGGCAACAAACCCCAGCTACCAACAGCTGCTTGTTCAAACATATGCTTTGTCATGGTCAGCTTCTAATTGTATTCATAATGATGTAATAGCTTTAATAATCCTACCTTCCATGCCAGCTGTTTTTTCCTGTCACTCCATCATGCCAATAAGTTGGCTGCTGTAACAAATCAAGATAGTGCAAAACAGCATCTTTCTCCTGATTCTGTCATCTTCCTGAAAGCATTCTATTACTGCCGACTGCTGGGAACCAGAAAGTCTATTTGAATTCCAACAGCTCCCCTTTCGCATGATTCAAGTTAGGTTAGGTGGGCATGCCTAACATGATTCTCTCAGTCATTTCTTATGCAGCTGCTACAACGTCGGTGTGGTAACCACTCTGACTATCTGATACGTCAGTCGAACAAAACCTACACCTCGGAGCAAACACATGAGCCAGAGCAGCGTTCTGCATTTAACGAGCATTCTCCCTGCCTAAAAAACAGTGGATCTGCAAATCTCTTTCAGTATCCACTCGCTCCTCTGTACAGATGCAAAGCCTTTGGATTAGGTTATTTTCCTAACTATACCAAGAGTAGAGTTCCTTGCCACACATCATATTATTCACACTGAAATTTTAGCTGATTTTTACTTATCTTCACAGCCCTTTAAGGGTAAAAACTCTCTCTTCTGATTGTACTTTTGAAATAAGGATATTTTATGTTCAGCTCCTCGTCTCTGCTTTATTATAACATATATATAATGCACTCTCTGGGATTTACCTCTTGTGATTCTACAGCAAATTTTCAAATAAAAGAGTTTTTTCAGGGAAATATTATTTATTTTGCACATAGGAGATATTTAATGTCTGATACTCTGTGTGTTTCTCCCAAGGGAAAGCTTTATTTATACTTTGATATTTTGACTTGAGAAGAGTACTTTCTTCACAAAGTAAGAAATTAGATTAGCTGAGTCTCTTACAGAACTTGTTTACCAAGTAAATAAGTGCCATTTAAGGAAAATGCATTTTGTATTTTTAAAATACTATTTATGAATCAGCATTTGTTAAAAGGAACTATAATTACCATCAATTTAAAAAGTATAATTTTATCTGAAACTTCTAAGTACACCTGTCTTGGGACACATATACTTATGATTTTAAATCATTAAATGAGAAAGTTTAAGTGTTTTCAAGAAAAATACTTTTAAAAAGGGGGAATTGATAAAATCTTATGTTTTCTCTCAGTCATCTATTAGATATTCAATTTAGTAGGGAATCTATTCCTCACCACACAACAAGTAAATAGACAGCTGGTATAGTACCTGCATTATGAAACTATAAGGAATAACCATTTAGCATTTGTAAGATATGCCAATATCACTATTATGAATTATTGTTTTCCTAAGGGGTGTATGTGTGTGTGCACACATACATTTTAGCTATTCTATTTCCATTTTAATTTTTATGTAACAAATCAAAGAAGCCTCATATATCAGGACATACACAAAATCATTAACTTATAGTTTATTATGTTTAAATTATAAACTCTGGAAATAAACCAGAAAGATAAATTGAGCCCACTGGAACCCACCAAAGTTTCTTTAAAATAATATACACATCAAGATGGCGGACGAATAACACCGCCAGACAGAGGGTCTCTGCAGAAAAGACCGATTCTAGCAGAAACTAGAGAAAAGAAGCAAGAAGACGAGCAAAAGAAACTTGGTGGGTTCCAGTGGCTCAATTTATCTTTCTGGTTTATTTCCAGAGTTTATAATTTAAACATAATAAACTTAAATTAATGATTTGTGTATGTCCTGATATATGAGGCTTCTTTGATTTGTTACATAAAAATTAAAATGGAAATAGAATAGCTAAAATGTATGTGTGCACACACACATACACCCCTTAGGAAAACAATAATTCATAATAGTGATATTGGCATATCTTACAAATGCTAAATGGTTATTCCTTATAGTTTCATAATGCAGGTACTATACCAGCTGTCTATTTACTTGTTGTGTGGTGAGGAATAGATTCCCTACTAAATTGAATATCTAATAGATGACTGAGAGAAAACATAAGATTTTATCAATTCCCCCTTTTTAAAAGTATTTTTCTTGAAAACACTTAAACTTTCTCATTTAATGATTTAAAATCATAAGTATATGTGTCCCAAGACAGGTGTACTTAGAAGTTTCAGATAAAATTATACTTTTTAAATTGATGGTAATTATAGTTCCTTTTAACAAATGCTGATTC